TATCAGGCAGCTGCTATGCATAACATGTTTTCACCATTATACAAAAATCCAACAGAAATCAAAAAGATGGGAGGGGGAGGGGCTACAAAACTATGTACAAGACTGATAAATAAGTAAGTGCGTGGTTTGAGGCGTTGCTTTGGAAACGTGCCTTTTACAATGAAAAGCAATCCGTTTCATTGGTTCTGTCCACGTTGCACCGCTAACACTTCAGGATATCTCAAATTTAGCTTCCTAATGACGTCAAAGCTAGTTGAAACACAGGCATGCTATTTCGATGCATAATAGCAATAGACAAAAATGCACTAAAATATAGCACTTGCAAGTTTTGTTTCATCTTTTTATCTCGTCAAACGACTAACGGAAAAAAATCTATAAAACTGAGATACGTTAGTTTCCTCAGATAATGCAACTGGGTCCAAGTCATTCAGACATTTAAAAACGGAAAATAAGGTAATAGAGAGTAGTAGCTGAAGTAGTAATAATTCAATTGATAGAACTGATAAGAAAAGCAGCTTTTTGATATAAATGCATTTTTAGCATGTACAGCCTTTTTCTCTTATAAATGTTTTCTTTTTTTCAATATGTTTGTCTGGTCCAGCTTATCCTGCTGGTCTGATTGGAAAAGACGTGGCTCCCACTGCGGTGGTCCAGTGTCATTCACACCACCGTCCGAGGAGTGAGGGGGAGGAGGAGGAGGAGGAGGAAGAGGAGGGTGAGGTCAAACAGTCTTGGCTCTCTCCATCAGTCCCAGGTAGGCCATGAAGGAGTGTTTGTGGGAGGAGGGTGAGTGTGGAGAGCGGGAGGGGGGCGCTGAGTTGGAGGCGAAGAGGAGAGGAGAGGTGGCGGGCCGCCATCTGGAGTGGGGGTGCGAGTGGAATGTGAAGCGGCTGTTTTGGGCGAACAGGGTGGTGAGGGGCATCAGGTGCGCCCGGTCGTAGTTCCTGTACTGCTCCAACAGGTGGCGGGAGGAGGGGAAGAAGAGGGAGGGGCCGCCGCCGCTCGGGCCGCCGGGGGTCCTGCAACCGTTGTTTCCGTTAGTGCCGAGTAAGCAGTGCAGGGGGCCGCCGGCGCCCTGGGGCTTACCCAGAGTGAGGGACAGGGCGACGGACTGCAGCGCCTGGGACGCCGTCAGGCTCATGAGTGGGCTGTTACTCCCACTCCCCCCGCTGCTTCCCCCTCCTCTGCAGAACAGGAAGTTCTCCTGACCCGTCTGCAGCGAGGAGCCCCCTGGTGAGGATCCCTGGAGTGGCAGCTCCTCCTCTCCCGCCTCCTCGTCTTCTTCCTCCCCTTCTTCTTCTTCTTCTTCTTCTCCCAGACCCCCGTCTAGTCCCCCCGCTCCTCCGCTCTGGTGTTTCTTGAGGTGGCGGCTGAAGACGAAGGGGTGTGTGGTGGTGAAAGGGCACTCTTGGCAGCCGAAAGTCTGGCGCGGCGCGTGCTTCAGCTTCTTGTGCAGGTTGAGGTTGTCCTTGCGCTTGCAGCTATAAGAGCAGCGGTCGCAGTGGAAGGGCCGCTCGCCCGTGTGCACACGCACGTGCTCGATCAGCTTGTTGGCCGTCTTGGACAAGTAGCCACACTGCTCACACTTGTAGTGGTTGCCCAGGCGGTGCCCGCGCATGTGGGCCTCCAAGGAGGCCTGGTCGGGCCACAGGCCCTGGCAGATGCGGCAGCGGTACTCCATCTTACAGTGCGTCTTCAGGTGGCACTCCATGGCCGCTGGTCGATTGGTGGAGTAGATGCAGAAAGGGCACCTGGGTAATGCAACAGAAAGGGGAAGCAGGGAGGGAGGACACGACACAAAAAAGCAAAGGACAGTTGAAGGGAATTTACATGAAATAAATCTATAACATACCTTGAAATATAAATCACACAAATTAATGGAGAGGAGGAGAAGGACAGGTAAAGTGTGTGTCATGTGGAGTTCTATGTGCTCATGGTGGTATGTGTGGCAGTTTAATGGTTGGATAATTGACGTGATCAGGTATATGTGTGTGTGGTGGAGGAGGAGGAGGGGGGATGACAGGCTGGAGAAAAGATTGGAGCAGTAGGACATGAAGGGAAATGAAGGAATGGAGTGGCACTTACATTTAAATAGCACCTTTCATCTGCTCTGGGCCCCAAAGCGCTTCACAAACCCTGCAGAACAGAATTACCTCAGAAAAACCTCGAAATGGTCAAGGCCCTCTCTCCCTTTCTACACACTCCTACATAGACACACTTCACATTGCTCGAGTGCATACACGTGTGCACACCAGTCGAGACAATAAACCTTGATCTGGATGTTGAGGTCAGAAAATGTAGGCACTACAAGGTTATCTAAAACCCCTAATGTCCAATAACTGACTCTACAGCTGGCCTGCTTCTAACAGTAAATATCATGTGGTTTACATAAATTAAGAGACTATGTGAACCTTGAAGTATAATTCACATGTGAAGATATAAACAGTACAGCAAAGAACATTTTCTGATACATTTAAATATGAAATATATCAAAGGACCTCAGCTCTTCCCTCTCTTTTTTGATTCTCCCTCATTAAAACAAAGAATCTAAAATATCCACAACCTGCTTCTTTCCCTTTTGAACGACAGCTTAAAGAATCTGGCTTCAAAAACATTAACACCAGACAGAAGAAACATTTCAAACTGTGATATATTCACTGACACACTGCAGCTAGCAGCAACTCCTTAAGTTAAGACTAAGAGAGGCTGTGTGGAGATCTTTGAGCTCTAAAGGGGCTTCTTATGTGTTTGTCTTCTGTTAACCACAGGATATGTATATAAATATAAGTAATAATATGTAACTGTGATGGTAGCTTTAACATTTAGTGATATGCTACCGTTTCCAGATATTTAGCAATGTTTAAAAACATCCTAAATCCACTGATGGCTGCACAGAATAGGATAAAAAAACACAGATCTTTGTTTATGACAAGATGAGGCGATAACCATAATGATTCTGCACATGCACAGCTGGAGTTATGAGAACAACTTAAAAAACAGAAAATGGCTTGTGTGTTGCTTGAAATGAATCTTTTACAAAATATTTTAATTACTGCAGTATTTCCTGAGGCAAATCCAAAATGCTGTCAACTTCAAAACTAACATCAGTGTGTGTTGTGGTGGTTCAGATCGACACACAGGCTTTATGTTGGCTTGACAGACCTGAAATGGGACATAAACGAGTGACAGTACAACAAAGGCTCCTGAGGGACTGGAGTATGGAGATGGGGGGGGGGGCGTGGGGAGACTAGAGCGACAAAACAGCCAATCAGTGTTAGGAAAGCAAGGCTGGCTTATCACAGATATGATAAAATTAGATGGCTATATGTAGGGGGTTGGGATGCAAACTGTGGGCTGAAATAGGTTTGCACATTATGTTTTTAAAGCACTTCATTAGGGTTGTTCCTTGCACAAAAGCCATGCATTCGTTTTGGTTTATATATATATGAGTGGATTGATGTGTGTTTATGACCATGTGTAGTCCAGGGGGGCCAGAACGTTACCCCTCAAAGGGCCAAAACTGAAACTTCAGTGGGCCTAGGTTATTTTTCAGCTTTCTTTAAAAACAGCTGCAAACATATCTTCCCCTCTCTTGATATTTCAGGTTTCACTGACTTCCTGCAAAAAACTCTGGGTGTTTCTCAATGTCGAGGACGCTTGCTTGGTAGCACATGTACCTCCGAGTCAGCTTGACTTGAGAGAGCGAGGCAAGGAAGATCCCTTCCTAGCGCTCGGAAAACGAAGAATTGTAGAACAGGCTAACAGGTGTCAGTTATGATTATGGTACGAGGCCCGCCTTAAATGGACACATGTCATAACACCAAATCCAATCCCAGCTGCCACTTATGGGTACGTGCAGCAAACCAAACCGAATTGGATCGGATTTTGTGCAAGACACCCTAAGTGAAGTGCTTAAGAACATAACATGTGCAAACCTCAAATTTACCCAACAGTGCAACGAAGACCCGGCGCCTACATAGTAATGCCACTCTAATTTGTAAGGTCATATCTGTGATACTCAGATCACGTAGCATCCTTGAACATAGTGGCTCTTTGGCTAGCAGCTCTTCCTCGACATGCCTGAGAAACACCCACTCGAATCTACAAGGACTATCTTTCTGTCAGTACATTTCCTATACTATTTATAAATAAACTATGATTTTGTTTTTGTACGAACATTTTTGTAATAGTTCATTCTATGATATATTACGATATTTTAAGGATTATTTTAAGACCTACCCCAAAAAAAAAAAAAGTTTATTTTTTTTATAACATTAAGAAGATGACATTTTTCCAGACAGCATTAAGTGAAAGGTTTTATAGCAGTCTCTACTATTATTATTTTCTTCTGATAAATGTCTGGTACTGACATATTTAATACTCTTAACGACAATGTTTATTATCTCTAATTCTGCTACTACAACCTAAAAAAATTGATACTGTTTTTTCCCTTTTCCGATTTGCTGATTCAGATGAAGATATCATTTATAGGATTCATCAATTGTGAAGTTCATTTACAAGAATATAAAAAACAGGGTTCATACACTTTGGATTTTATATTTATAAATGTATCTCACTACAGTTATGTGTATCCTGTAAAAGGAAATCATGATTGGCCAATTTGAAATTTTTAGAGAGGGTTACGTTTGTACAGACCTAGACTGATCAATGCTACAACTTAGTTGTGCTTGTTAAATGTTTTCTCTTTGAGGTGTGCCAACAGTATTTTATACAAGTTGTCTGTATTTCTGGGGGAGGGAGTTCTCGAATGTCAATTCTTCAATAGTTTCTTTGGCATATGGCTGCTAGCTCTGTTGAGGCAGTGGAAACAACGACCCGGAGGGAAGCCCATTTCCATCTCTTCACTCTTCCCGTTCGGTGTCAGAGCAGCCACTCAACACAGGGACCACGGTGCTAATAAGGTTAGACCTGCAAGAAGAGGCTGTCGGAGCAAAACTACAGCTTGTATCGTCTTGCCTCTTCTGACGCAGATAACGAACATGGAAAGTGAGGTTAGCTGATTAAGGACACAGGCTGGAATGACCGGTAAATAGACCTCAAATCGTGTTCCATGTCTTCAGCCTGGTATGACTGTGACAAGCTCCTATTGAAAAAGATATGCTTGTGTACGCCTTTACCAGCCATGTGACATCAATTCTAGAATGTTAAATGGGGCGCAATGGAATAAAACCCTTGTGGCCTGATGGTTGAGTTTTACATTAGATAAGAACTTTTAAATATGCAGTAATTTGCACAGTCCAGTATACTATGACTGTGTGTGTACTGGTATGTGTATATGTAAGTAATTAATACAGGTGAAAACGGGTTTGGAGTTAGGAACCTCTGTCGTTACTTGCTTTCCTTACTTGAGCCCTCGACAGGGACGGCTGTGGCACTTCTTGTGCTCCAGCAGCCTGCTCGAGGCGTCTTTGAGGAACTATGTGCAGACCCGGGAGTTTTTCGCACTCGAACATTCGACGAATGGATGAGGTGGAAATCTGCAGGTGCCATTCTACCATATGCTACAGCGTCTTGACACAAAATTACAGAAGGACACAACACTCGAAGCCTGGTGAAGGAAAAGAGATAAATGATCTGGTTGGCTGCTGCNATTTGCAAATAAATTCTTTAAAAATCAGACAATGTGATTTTCTGGATTTTTTTTTTTTCTCATTTTGTCTCTCATAGTTGAGGTATACCTAGGATGAAAATTACAGGCCTCTCATCTTTTTAAGTGGGAGAATTTGCACAATTGGTGGCTGACTAAATACTTTTTTGCCCCACTGTACATACACTGCCGAGTAGCTTGTGAATTTTACCAATGGATCAATAAAGTATTATCTTAATCTATAATAATAATTACTATTACAGGAAAGTACCTCAAACTTGTACTTAAGTACAGTAGTACTAGAGCTAATGTATTTACCTTTCCACCCCTAATTTAGATATGTCTATGTCCTAACGGTATGTGATCAACTATATTAACATATCAATAAAGTATTGAATCTCCTTACTCTAAATCCTTTCTTATTCAAATGTTTCAGTTAGCAGCTCTTTGAAGTGTGTCCTTTCTGACTGTCTTTGTCTCAGATGGAGTTGTCTCCTGTCTGCACTGACAGCATCAGCACAGAGGGATGTGTTATTAAACATGACGGAGGGCGGAGGAGAAGCAAAGTCTCAAGTAAGTTGCTTCATGACTTGAAAACAAACACTTTTATTTATTAATGTTCTGTAATGTCTTATATTCCATCCTGTAACACATTATTTGAGTGAGTATGTTAAAATGTTATTGGATTTAAAAATCTTGTTCGTTTATGAGTGCGTATTTCTTGTCATGTTTTCTTCCAGGAGATGTGGACATCGAAATTGAGAATCTTTACAAAGCTATCCCCCAGCTGGCCAAGGTTTTCCGCATCACTGACAAAATCGGAGAAGGTACATACATTTGAAGCGTTTGTTAAGGTTAATAAAGTAGGCACTCGTACACATCATTGGATTGTTGAAGCAGAAGAGTGTGTTCATGAGATGTGTGTCTGTATACCAGGTACATTCAGCTCTGTGTTTCTGGGTGAGGCCCAGATGCATGATGGGAGGAGAGCGATGTTTGCCTTGAAGCACCTCATCCCAACCAGCCACCCTACACGCATCGCTGCTGAGCTTCAGTGTCTCACTGTCGCTGGGTGAGTCCAACACTGATGTGTGATTACAAATGACTTTACATCTCCAGACTTTCAGAACGCTTCTTTAACAACTGAAAAGCTCATTCTTCTTATATTTTTGAGTTGTCTATTCAAATGAGTGTTTAGACTTTAGCTGCACGATCTGGAAAGAATAATGATCAATAACCACATCATTATTCTCATTATCATGAAAACATTGAAATAAATGATCATGGTGGGATGATCTGTACCAAAACAATATAGATGGATACATGATGGATATATACTTTACACACAAATTGTGAAATTGTTTTGTCACAGAAGCAACTATAACAGTCATTACAAATGAGTTCAAAATATATATATTTTAAATATAATAAAATACATTCAAATACAATAAAAGCATTGACAGCAAATATATACATTTCCACAGTAGAAAATACATATATCAAAAGAGTAGGATTAATTATACAAAATGTATAGCATTCCTCTATAATGGACCAATCAACTACAAACACAGTAACATATAGACATAGGGTACTACATACGTTATAAATTGTGCAAAGTGGCTGTTTTTTTAATTTGATTTAAGTGTGGATATCTCTGTCTTTGTATATCACAGTACTTTTCTAAAGAGGTATTCTTACACATATTTAGCCTTTAGCCAATATGTGTGCCTGGTCCTATTAGAATATTGCACTGGTCCATATTGCAATACCCATAAAAGTAGGATTCATTGTGCAGCCCCATTATACTTTCAGTGATCGTTAATGCTTTTGTCATTTTGATTTTTAGTCTGAGTTTGTTTGAACTCCTGATTTTTGGTTTCTATCACCTTTTTTATAAATGTTTAGTTCTTTTTACTTTTGCAATATTACATAATTACTATAGACATCATATAGTGTTACTAATAGCCTAGTTTAAAATCAGTAATTCCTTTTGATCTGCTAGGTATTATTGTTTGTATGTTATGTTGCCCTTGGAAACGTATGGTACTGCAGTTAGAGATGTGAGACACAGTGTCTAGTCAAATGCTCAATGAAACCACTCTTGTATCATTTTGTTTCATCTCTTTCTTTTAAGGTTTTATGTTATGCTTTAGCAAATTGAGCTCGTTTGCAAATGCACTCATTTGAATATATGAAGGTGCATTTATGTTAAATCTGTGTTTTTATTGTTATTATATACAAATATTTATGTCCTTTTTCTTTTCACTTTGCAGAGGCAAAGAGAGTGTGATAGGGGCAACATATTGTTTCAGGAAGGAGGACCATGTAGTGATTGTCATGCCTTATATGGAGCATCAAGCTATCGTGGTTTGTACTTTTTCTTTTAAAAACATGTGGTTACAGCTTTTCAGTTGTAATTGTTATTAAACACGATAACCTCTTGATTCTTGTTCCTATAAAAGTTCTGATCCTATCTCCATGTATTCATCAGGACATCATTGGCTCGTTGACTTTTGAAGAGGTCCGTCTGTACATCTATCACCTGATGAAGGCTCTGAGACACGTCCACCAGTTTGGAATCATCCACAGAGACATTAAACCAAACAACTTCCTGTACAACAGGAAGAGCAACACGTGAGTACTCGTATCTCTCTGTAAGGAATGCAGCTGCATGACTACGTCTGATGGGGTTTCATTTCTTCTTCTTTTTTTATAGGTTAGTGCCAATGATTTTGTGAGCAATTATGTAACAACTTTATACTCTCTAGTAGTTCAATGAATACTTTTATATAGAAAAAGAGCATTTGTATATTCATTTCTTAGCCTGTGTGACCTTGTCCTCCACGAAGAACAAAGAATTTGAAAAATCCTTGATCGGAGTCACATTTACAACATTCAAACTACATCGAAACAGTATTTATCTGGACTCGCAGCAGCAAGTAGCTTGCAAGAGTGAGACTTTTTTAGAATATGTTTGGGAAGACGCAAGTGTGATGGAATTGGAATATCATTTTTTCGAGCAATAATACTGGAAAGCAGAAAAAAAGCTCCTGGAAGCTGGAACCAATGTCCTGCTGAAGTTACTCCGCTATCAGTTCCCCCACACTCTCCTCAGGTCTGCATGTAGAACTGATTATCAGACTGGCCATTACCAGAATGTGCCTCTAGTCATACATGTCAAGAATCCAAAAAACAGAGGTCACACTCCTATCTACCTGATGTGTCCTAAGACCTACTTTAATGATTCCTAATATGAAAATGATGTCCTCTTTTTAAAAGTGAGCATAGAAGTGCCGAATGTGTCATGTAACTGATGAACAAATGAGTACATAACATCAAGTATTTCCTTGTTTGAAAATGTGTGTAGGTATGCGCTGGTGGACTTCGGCCTGGCTCAGGGAACAGCGGACACACAGATCGAGCTCCTGAAGGTGGTGAGGCAGAGGGCAGCACTAAAAGGTGGAGGGTCCATGGGGAAACAAGACTCCACACAGAGGAGCAAAGCACCACCTAGGCCCCCTCCCAAAACCACCACCACAGCCTCCACCTCACTACCTCCACGGCCATCAACAACCTTACCTCATTCCTCCTCCTCTTCCTCCTCCTCCTCAGCCACTCGGAAAGCTCTGGTTAAAAAAGCACGTTGTGTCTCCACCACTGTCCCCACCTCCGCCTCTCGTACCAACAACACAAAGGTGTCTGCACTCATATTTTTCTGTCTGCTTTTTTGGGCACACTCGCCTGAATTTGGGTTAGGAATTTCCTGTATAGATTTTTATAAAAAATGTGTTTGTCTATGCATTTGTTTCCTTCCAATGTTTTGCCTTTAACTCAATTATGTCACCGTCTTTTTTTCTGTAGGATCTGTCCGGTCTGCGCAAACAGCCTCGGCCGGTGTTTGGAGAGAGGAACCTGAACAGCTGCACTCCAGCTGCAGCCACCACCAAACCCGCTGCCATTAAAGCAGAGGTGAGCACAGTGGAAAGTAACTTTTTAGTATAGGACATGTATTCTCTGTTAATTGTATCTGAAAAGTCAAGAGTCCTTTTTCATTTGGTTTAAATGAAGACCCTCTTAAAGGATATCATCAGTGTTCATTTCTTACTCACTGTATTCTTCTCATCATAAAGTCTCTCATTCTGCTGGTAAAGTCCAGTAAAACAGAGGACCCGGCCAATAGAAGGTACTGTGCGGCCGGCCGGGGCCCGCTGCCTCTCAGGACCCAGAGCAGCGGTCAGAAGCCTCAGAGGGCCGTCCATCAAGGCCTCACCTGCAGCTGCTACCAGAGCGACCGCGTCTGCAACATCTGCTTGTCCAGGTAACAGCCGACAGAGAGGAGATTTCTGTTCTTGAAACAAATCATTAAGAGCCACTTTCACTCACCATTCAGAAAAGAGTTCCTTAAATACATTTCAACCTAGAGATTTGAAAGACAACTCATCCGTCCAATGCCTTTGGTGTGTTCCTCCTTTAAACCCCCTGCCCCATGTTGTTCCTTCAATAAAGGAAACCTCAGGTGGCTCCCAGGGCTGGCACTCCGGGCTTCAGAGCACCAGAAGTCCTCACAAAGTGTCCCAACCAGGGAACAGGTTGGTACTTTACAGCACGGCTTCTTAAGGATCAGATAGAACGCTTGCTGCAGGTTGAAATGCGAGGCACGCCAAACTGCCTTTTTGTCGAGCGCTAATGTTAGCTTAACACAAACCATGAAGTCTAGGCTACCTGATAGTTAATACTTAAGTAAGACTTGTTTGCTGCTCCTTTCTGTTCAGATCATGGAAACCACAGTTAGAAAAGTCCAATAGCTGTGTCAAGCCATCTTCATACAAACATTCAGATGTAAATTATAAAAAAACATACCACCTCTTGCCGTTTGGCCAACATTATAGATGTTCTTTGTTTGCAATGTTACAAGTTCAATTCACCTACATTTTAACTTAACGTTTAACTTTTCACACACTAAGTTTGCAATGAGTCCTCTCCAAATCATCTTTCAATGAATCATGGTGTTCATATATCAACAATCTTTGGACAAGAAGGATAAAACCTGGTTAGCAACGGTCCTTTTTCCGACCTGAGGCCCAAATGCAAGGGCTCAGTAACATAAAAGCAGCATGCAAACGGTTTCTCTCATTGCTAACAATGAGGTGGCCTCACAGGAGGCGCTGCATCTGATTGGCCACTTCCCTCTGTAGTTGTCACTAATGTTGCCCTCTGCCCTGCAGCTATAGACGTGTGGTCAGCTGGTGTGATCCTGCTCTCGCTGCTCAGCGGACGCTACCCGTTCTTTAAAGCCAGCGACGACCTGATCGCCCTCACTCAGATCATGACCATACGAGGCTCCAGAGAAACCATCCAGGCAGCCAAGGCTTTTGGTTTGTATTCTTATACTCACCTGATTCCTTTGCTTTCCTAATAATTCCCCTGAAGTGCACCGCAGAGCCACACAGGAAGTCAATAGACTGCAGCTGAGCCCAAACTATAACACTTTCAACTGTGCAAATTCATATCTTATGAATACTAATATAACACTGTTAATATTGTAACAAACATGTTATATATTGTAGTATAATGTGCACATTTTAACCACATTTTATATAAATATTTGTATTCTATTTTTGACTGTATCTTTTATTGGGGATTTACTTCAGATATATATTTATCTTTATTGTATATTTTTAATGGACCACTCTTACTTGATACATTTTTATAAATATTTGTATTCAATTCTTCTTTTTTTTGTCATTCTAAAATGGAGCAACTGTCCCGAAATCTTATTTATGAGACAAATAAAGTATTCTGATAATATACCTTTCTTTAAAAAGAATACAGTCATTTCAGAAAAACAGTTTATGACCAAGGGTGTGAATGTGAGTGAATCCAACGTCACCGTATAATCAACCTGTTTTGTTTCACTTGTTGCAGGTAAGGCGGTGGCGTGCAGCAGGGAGCTGCCTCGGCAGGACCTCAGGACGCTGTGTGAGACCCTCAGAAGGCGGAGGCCGTCCCCAGATGAAGTCACACCTCTCCCCGAAGCTAACAGAGACTCCACCTCCACCCGCCTTCACAACATCCAAAATGCTATGCCCACACATCGTCCTGCTGAACAGCACCAAGACGGAGCAGGAGAGAACCCCTCGTCTCTCTCTTCTGCTCTCCCTAACCAGCAGGAAGTCAGGAACTCAGAAACAGACTGTAAGGTGGAGCTGGATGAGCGGGGCTGGGACAGAGTTCCTGGCGAGGCCTACCACCTGCTGGACCGGCTTCTGGACCTGAACCCTGGAACCAGGATCACGGCGGCTCAGGCCCTGCAGCACCCCCTCTTCAAAGACCTGTGAAAGACTTCCTGCTCTTTGGTTCAGGTTCCATGAACCAGATGATGCCAAGACAATAGTTAAGCTTATTAAAGCAGCAGCATAGTCAATCTGTCACCTTTTTATACTAAATTATTCTGCAGAAAAGTGTACATCTTTGGAGAAACTACCTGACCAAGCTGATACATTTCAAACATCAAAGATGGAGTTCTCCAAATGTTTCATAGATTTTAATATAGCACCCTTTCAGGCAGGCTCCTTATTAAAAGGCCTGCAGTCCATGGCAGCTATGTTACAAAGGACAACAATACTTAAAAGGGCTTTAAGGGTGCACTGTATAACCCAAATATAGTGCACGGGACAAGATAGGAGGAGGGTTGACTTGAGGCATTATATTGATCTCATTATTGGCCTTTACAGTTTTACAATTGAAGGACCCTGATACCCTCTGTACCTTTTTACTTGGAAGACCAAAAAAGAACAATACGAAACTTAAGGAGTCTTATTAAGGTAGTTTGAGGAGGTGTCACTTAAATAGCTGTTTGTGTAAACTTAGCAAGAGGGAATTCTGTATGTTTACTATCGTCACTATATTACAGCAATATAAGATGACTGTTTCCAATGTAATAAATGGCTTTTAATTTAAAGGTGCATATAAGTTCCATCTGTATTTTATGAATTGAAGTATAAATATTGCTGTATACAAATGTCATTTATGACACTGAAAGTGTATTGCTGCCTCATTCTAATTAGATTTTCTAATAAAGGGAAAGTCAAGGCAATTGGCTGCCATTTACAGTAGGTAACATATTGAGCATAATGAGTGTACTGAAAGTTCAAATAATCATTGCAGTTACTCACACAGTTCAGACTTGTCACAGTTTTCAGGTTTTGCTTTTTCCTGAAGTAATATCACAAGTCCTAGAGGGAACTTCTTGAAATGTGGCACAAATGTCAGCTAGGGTCCATTTCTTTCCGCTTGAACATAATCATTCCGAGACTAATTAAGACAATATCTCACAAATGTCCAGAACACGCACCGAACTGCAGCTCTAATATGACCGTTCATTTTTGTCAACTAATAGCAATGTAGTTAATCCTTTGGTTGGATTTCACACATTTCTTTACAAACTTAAAAGGTGGGGTATGTAATTTTGGAGAAACCAGCTCGAGTGCGCTAGAATTTGAAAATACACAGCTGGAAAAAATCTGCCACTTCCTTCCAGAGCCCCTCCTCCAACACACACAAGATAAGTTTGTGCACAGATGGAAGGCTGGCAGGCAGGTAGGCAGGCAGGTAGGTATCCAGTTATTTTAGCCGGGCCGGCTAAAATTATTGGTCGTGCTTTTTACAGTACCACAGCTTCCACAATGACCTTTATGGATTTATTGTCAAAGCATGTAATATATTCATTGCTATCGGGATGTTAAGAACATTCCATGGAATATAAGAAATAAATTAAATTACACCATCCCCACCTTTAACTGACATTGTATGTGCAATTTTTCTGGATGCACATTTCAGATATGCAGCATTAACCAACCACAACTGAATTGTTCTTTGCCACAGAATAAACCACACTTCATAACAGAAACAGTCCACCTTGTTTAACTCGTGTGTACAAGAAGCAATACAAATGTTCCATCATTTGAATCTTTGTATAAACACAATGCAAATTTTAAAGCACCTGCTGAAATACCAAAAGAAAAAGACATGAAACACTTGAAAATAATGTTTTACAGACTTCTGTTGCTTTTCTTAAACAGAATACATCAACAGAACATTGAAGGCTTTGTGTTGGCTCGCCCCTGAGACGATGAGGAACAAAACTCGTCGGCTCGGCTTAAAGATTATCCTTCACCTCGGTGAGCTCCTCTATCCGCACCAACACACTCTCGATCATGTCGAAGGTGTGCAAGGCCGAGTGCAGAGCCTGGGGGAACACATTCAAATTCAATCAGTACATTTCTATCAGCACAGTATGAAAACAATCACGATTTGTATAAGAGAATCACTGACCTGGATCTGAGACTCTGAGGTCATGTTGGGCAGCTTCTCTTTGCCAACGGACACAGAAAGCATGGACTCCGCTGCGGAGACGTAAACATGTATATTAAATACTTTATAACATTTTTACAGGCTTTTGTATAAAAAGGTGTTATTCTGCAAAAGCTTTTGATTGGATAATAATTGTGAAACTGAATTAGTCGTGCAATAATGACGGATTTGTTGCGGAAGTTAGCATCGCAAGGGCTCCCTCAAAAAAGCTAACGGGAATTTCCAAAGGATTTCTGAATACAGCAGGAAATAAGCTCTGTGGGAACCACATGTCTATGATACTTAGATGTTCAGCAGGTTAATCTTCACATACTTACACCAGTTTATGATTTTTTAAGCGTAATTGTCTGAAGTAAAAGGGTGGGGGGGGGGCGGTTCCAACAAGCCGTTTAGGACAGAGAGTGAATACACATACTATACAGAGATGCTGTATGAGAAACCAATGTGAGTTTGGAAAATTGCACAATATAAATCAATTTTAGTATACCTCAACAATGGAAATATGATCAGTAGAAATGGCCATGACATGGGACCTTAAACACGTAAAAGCTTCAGACATTCACCAGCGGGGTATTTACTGATCCATTTTCAAAAAGTTCAGGTTATAAAGTTCAAATCTCTTCAGTTTGTGTTAACCACATAACTCATTTTACGCATCTAACCACAAACCTTTTTTGAGACGAGGGAACCATAAGTGCTAAAATGTAACTAATTTTTTTTAAGACTCATTCCTGCACCTCTCTAAAGACATAAGTGTGTTGGTCTGACCTTTGACCTTGCCCCTCTTGGTCGCCAGGGTGTCGTGGAGCTCCCTCTCGTAGTGAGCTCTCGACATGTTTACTCCGACACGCAGCGGCTTCAGGAACGTATCTTCTATCTTATACAGCTCCGTCCAGATCCCCGTCTGCAAGAACAGCAGCGGAAACATACGATGAGTTGAATTCACTGATGCACCATGGGAATCAGAAACAAGAATGGATGTTTGTAAAATCATCCAACTAGCATTCACTCAGGTACAACCCTCACCTGGTTCTCTGTCACTTTGTCTCTGATGACGAGGTAACGCAGCAGGTTCAGAGACTCCATGATTCTGTTTAAAACAACACAAACAATCAGGTTCACCCACTCACTTTTGTATGAACATAATCATGTAATAATGACAGGGTAGCACTACAACAGCATATAGAGGTCAAGGAAGGGTCCAAGTATTGGCCTGTATCAAGCAAAGAAAACAACTAAGGAGATTGCTAAAACTAATAACATCAGGTTAAGAACCCTCCAACGCATTATTAAAACCTTGAAGGATAGTGGTGAACCATCATCTTCGAGAAGAGAGGCGGATTAAGTGATGTATTGTAACTTCACAACCCCTCCCCACTGCTGGCTACATAAAAAACTGTTCACCTATAAATGGCCCTGATACAGTGTTACATGTGACATAGTTGAGTCATTTGTTATCCTATACTTCAATTAGTGTCACTCTAAACTAAACTTTCATATTTTATTCATTTGACAATGGGGACAAAAGTACATTTGAGTCTATGTAAAACTGATGTACTCATGCCTGGAAGCACACTAATGCTTGATAGAATAAATAATTGTTAACATTGGCTTTATCTATAAAAACATACTTTAGTGATTAATAAAGCAATACACAATAACCTCAAATCATAGAGTCAGGAGAAAAAGCTCACTGACTATTTTCTTAATTGTGTAGTTCAGTGGTTCCCAAACTTTTTCAGTCGGGACCCCCTTGGGTATTGGAAATATTTTCGGGACCCCCCAACCCGGTTCCCTTCTATATTGGTAGGATTAATTGTATATTGTTGTAAAAACATTACATTTTCTTTGCTAATAATAATAAGATACAAAGATCCAAATATCATTTTATATTTTATTATGGATTACACATGAACAAAAGGGAAAAATAGATTTTTA